AAGATTATAATAAATCGAAAAATTATATTAAGACTTTAACACCCTGTAGCTACGAAACAAAGCATTTCGGGAATCGGACCTATGTTGATATGAAAAATCATATTTTTACGTGAGGAATCTCCCCACGAGAGATGGCACATGTTTTTTGAAACACACTGTATAACATCTAAACATCTTTAACTAAATAGTATAGGATTGTAAGTAATTTAATGCAAATGTGAAACTTTAAAGAATGAAACAATACTTACATGTATAATAAAAATTTTTCTTTTCAAAATATTATATTGAATCAGCATTGCTTGTTTTAAAATATTATGCAAACGACGGGAATTGCAATTATTAGTTAAAAAATATATATTTTGAACAAATACCGAGTGCGTCTCAAAAGTGGCTCACCCTTATAACTTTGTTATTTTTTCAGTTAAAAAAAACGAGATTTGGTGTGTTAGTATATGACATAAATTAGGATTGATTGACGTATTCAATTGTTTTCGGTCTCTTCCTGTTTCGCCGGAAATGACTACAACTTTTGATTTTTAAATGGCACCCTCGGTATTTTTTAATTTATTCCATAGAAAATAACACTCCGAACAGAATGACATATCATATATGTCAATTTTTGACATTTTTGCATATGATTTATTTGAAATTTTATAACTTGCGGTTCGTAACGAAAAGTTGACTCAAAATATCAAGTGTGTGGTATCAAATTATTCGTAAGAAAATGCTTTTTTCAAATATGCTAATGAGCTACCCTCGTTTAATTTGAAAAAATTGAGATATGATTAAAAATACGATTTGAGCATTAGACGATCAAATCAGAACATTAGACGATCAAATCTATGACAAACAAAAGTTGACATATGTCATGTCATCCTATTCAGAATGTCATTTTCTATCAAATAAAGTAAAAAAATACCGAGGGTGCCATTTAAAAATCAAAAGTTGTAGTCATTTCCGGTGAAAAAGGAAGTGATCAAAAACAATTGGATACGCTAATCAATCCTAATTTATGTCTTATACTAACATACCAAATCTCGTTTTTTTATCTAAAAAAATAAAAAATTATAGGGGTGAGCCACTTTTGAGACGCACCTGGTAGGTAAGTTTCTATTATCACATTTATCCATTTGAATGTTTCATTTGGATTTTTTTTAGTGTTTAGTTAAAATAAGATAATTTCTTGATAATATGACAACATATGTAGTAGATTAAATTTATAAGAAAGACAACACAGTAAAGATCCGGTAGTTCACAACATTTAAGCAAAAAATAACTCTTTTTTTTTAATTTTCAAAGTAAAATAACTCGGTTATTTTCGATTTATTTGAAAAACGGTAAAGAGAAACTAAGCTTCTTTTATCGAGATCTTTATCCAGCCTTGAAAATATTTGCACTTATTTAAGACTCACTCTGTATAAATTTCAAAACGTAAGATTGTACAATAGAACTACGTTTCTTTTATCGAGATCTTCCAGCCTTGAAACTATTTGCACTTATTTAAGACTTACCCTGTATAAACTTCAAAATGTAAGATTGTACAATAGTAATCTTCATACCACCAAAGAAAATAGTTTAAATTTTCTTCTAGTTATTTTACAGGGTGAGCCAAATTCGACTCTTTTAAAGGGAAACAAAACATCCTTTTTTATAGGAGACAAGAACTAATATTGGTATCTGGAGCTCAATTTTTATCAAAAACATGATGGTGAAAACCGCACATCGATATCTGTTGTCGTTTATGATTTACGGGGTGTTTTTCAAAAATGTGCATTTTTAACAAATCGCTGTAACTTTTTTGCTGTGGAAAATTTTGTATTTTTGTGAAAACATTTCGGAAGCATCTTTTTATGTAGAATTTAATGGTTTAAGTATATTTTTTTTAAATTAATAATTTAAGAGTTATCAACAGAAAAATTGATTTTTTACTTGGGACACCCTCTATATTTTTAATTAAGTGAAAAGAACTTAAAATTACCTTTCCAAAAATATAGCACACTTGATATTTTGTTATAGTCCTCTTCGAAATACAGAATTTTTATAAGTTCGCCACTTTTAACTAGTAGGCTTTGAATCCCTTATTGATGATCTGCTCCTAATGGAACTCGAAAACAAATTTTTCCAGCAAGACGAGGCACCGCCTCACAAAGCTGAAGTTATCGGCAAATTTTTGAAGCCTATTTCGAGAGTAATTGAATAGCTAACCAAGATCCTAGCCGTTGGCCGTCGAGGCTGCCGGACTTAGTGCCTGTTCCTGTTATCCTTAGTGGATTTTTACCTTTGCGGAATAATAAAGAAAGGTTCTTATTTTTAAATTGCCCGTATAATCTAGACAAGAATTAGAAGTACTTAATGGTTATGCGAGAGAAATCTTTCACCCATACTGAGTTAATGAATTCGGCGAGAAATGTTCAAAAACGGCCCCGTCTGTCCATAAACAAAAGACGGTCGACATGTCGAACACCTGTAGCAAAATCTCATGTCTTGGTTTGCTATTAATTTTTATTGTTATTAGATATAGTTTAAAATGCGTTGATGTTGTTAAATATAGATTAAATTGTTATAAAATTCTGCATCTCTCATTGCAAATATTATTTTCGTTTTAATTGCTGCTCACAGCTAGACTTTTTTTGCATTACAGCCTGCGCCGTTCAAAGTCTACTCATTCAAAGTGGGCGAATTTTTAAAAACTCTATATCTTGAAGAGGAATCGAGCAAAATATCAAGTATATTATATTTTTGGAAAAGTAATTTTAAATTCTTTTCAATGAATTAAAAATATACAGGATGTATATACATATAAAAAAAATCATTTTTTTGTTTATAATTCTTAAATTATTAATTTTGAAAAAAACATACTTAAACCATTAAATTTTACGTAAAGGGTGCTTTGGAAATGTTTTCACAAAAATACAAAACTTTTCATAACAAAAAAGTTACAGCCATTTGTTAAAAATGCATATTTTTGAAAAATACCCCGTAACTACAGCCGTAACTCCGGAATGAAAACAGATATCGATGTGCGGTTTTCACCATCATGTTTTTTTTATAAAAATTGAGCTCCAGACACCGATATTACTTTTCGTCTATCTCCTATAGAAAAGGGCGTTTCTCTTTAAAATCGTTCAATTTGACCCACTCTGTAATGCATTTAACAGTTTTATATTGTATTTCTATATTTAAATATATTTTATTAGGCTGCTGATTTTCGATTATTAGTGCACCACAGCAACCGCAAATTGACCCTATTTGTTTGGTTTGCGGATTGTCAAAAAATACACTTGATTATTCTTTTAAAAGCCTCGGATCCGGTCAATAATAGTGCGGCCAATATTAGTTTAACCTTTTTAGAGATTATTCAAGTGAAATAGACAGACAGACAAACGACAAATAGTTTGAAAAAAGAAAAAAAATTGTCCGAACCAAGTCCAGAGTTGGTTGTGTACTCAGCGGCTTAAAGCGTATTACATATGGTGCTTTTCGTATTTTCTTCACTCTCCAAGTATGTTGGCAACCAGAGTCATTCATTAGTTTCATCCTCTGCATGTGTGATCTCATAATACTCTCATAAGTATACTAACTGCTTTGAGTATACGTCGACCATTTCTGCCAGCATTTAGAAGAGGACTCTTGTTCTGAGTTTAAATGGTCTTTTTTTCCAATTACAAAGGGCCGTCTTATGAGTATTTACCCAAGGAAAAGGATAAGCTACCCTTGGGCTTTCCTCAAATACTACAGCTACTGTTCCTTCAGCGGTCATTGACTCGTCTGAATTCCAGGTTAGTCTGTAGGTATACCAGGTACCAGGTAGTGAAGGAATCTGTTCATATTCCCCGATCCATTTTATTCACCTCGAATGGTTTGTGGTAGAGATAAAGAGGAGTTATTTTGTCCGATCTCATTTGAAGTAAAGGCCCCCCTATATAATCCCCCAGCTTTAAATGTCCTCTTTCTGTCTTATTCCCCAGAGACAACGCACTTTGTTGTTAATTCCATTCTTGCCTCCGCCTGGATCACTATGTGAAGAGGCGGAAGGTTCAGAAGCGTCTCCAGTGATGCTGTGGGCGTTGATTTCATCGCCCCTGTTATGCTCAGACAAGCAAATATTTGCTCTTGCTGAGGCTGAGCATTGTTGTTTGTTGCATTGCCTTAGGCCTTAGTCATGGATGCATTTGTTACTGAAGACCTCATCACTAGCCCAGTGTACACAATACTGAATGGTCTTGCTAATCCAGTCAAATGTTCTTCAAAATCCTGTCATATTTTACCTTACGAATGACGAAACTATTTTGGGTAGGGAGCCGGGACTTTGTTTCACTACAGGTCAACATATTCTGATATCCAAATAAAATCGTCAACTTGGTTGTATTTCCAAATAATTTCTTACAGCAGATATATTTTAGCACGCTGTCGTTTTTGGGTCCGTCAATTTTGATATATAATAAACTGTTTTCTATTCAATTCATCCCTGTTGAAAAATAGGACGTAGGATGGAGTTGCGCTTTAAGGGCCGAGTCTATATGATGAGACCTAAAACCTATACAATATGGTCTCAGTTCAATTTAAATAAGATATGTTACCTGATTTTTTCATACTTTAAGTTGAGATATTAGCTGTAATATCATTACAGCTAATATCTGTAGTAGTTGGTATCTTGTCATTTTAGTAGTCCGAATTTTTCCTTTTTATAATAGGCACAGCAGCTTTTGCAAACATTTTTTCGCTGGATTTATCATGGAAGTTCTGGTATCCGTCTTTACCTATTTTCATAAACCAACTTTTCGAGCTAATTTTACATTTCGAATGGCAACGCTGCAAGCGCGAGTACCTCCTCCCACTCCAGTATCGCAAGTCTCTTTACATCGACCGACCTCTTCCTATTTCGCTCTTTTTTCTTCGCACGCTGCACGCTATTCTCCCATCCTCGTCGCCCGATTGAATGGGAAGGTTAACAACAAATTCACCGTGTGTATCGGTCAGTCAGTCGGTCGTCGCAGTCGTTTAATGCAGTGCGTAAATATTTGTTCGATTTGACGTGACTTCCGCGCGTACAGGTGGCGTAATAAACTCGTGAAACTTTCGCGAAGTTTTCGAGCGATTTATCGAGTTTGTTGGAAGCAAAAACAGCTTAAGTGAGTGCATTGGAACTTTGAAAAATACTAGACATACGTATTGGATCGTGGCGATTTTACTTGACGTATTGGGTGAGTAAGAACAAGACCAGCTTGAGTTGCGCGCTTTTGATCGTGATTCATCTTGAGTCGCTTCGTTGCTTGTTTTATGCGGCGCGTGTTTGGATATGTGGCGGGTGTTGTTGGCGCGTGCTGAGCCCATTACGTGTGTGGTAACTTGTGGATGAAATGATGGATGGAAGGGGGAAGTGCTGAAATTGATAATAACTAGTTAATTTGGCCATGATTTGTTTAATTATTTCAGAAGTTTAAGATAAATGACAAGAATTTATTTTATTTTATTTATCTTATGTAGTGATGTAAAATTACCGGTAATTTATAAATCGGTAATATTACGGTAACATTGGTAATTTATAAAAAAAACTACTAAATAAACATTTTTTATTTCAAAACTGTAAAAACATTACAAAGAAAAAGACAAGAACGTTTTTGAAACTAGACAGAGTCAGAGTGACCATTGTTATAGTACGTAATAGAGTGGATAATGGCAAATCATCCTCAATCTCGTCATCTGATTCTTCTTTCTCTTGCGTTATTTGAGCCAAGTTTATTGCTTCGAAATCGACATCCTCTTCTTCTCTCATTTCTTTCTCAGCAACTTCTACCATTCTTGGATGTTCTCCATTTAGTAAATTATAATTATGGGCAATAAGTAAAAGTTTTTCCTAACCCTTTCTACGGTAAGTATGTCTTCTTGGCCGATGAACAAATCCATAAGCACTAAAGGTTCTTTCTGTTGCGGCTGTTGACGATGCTAAATTTAAAATGTCTACAGCCCACATATTTATTTTAGAGCTGGGCAAATGAAAAAAAGTAGAACGAAAAAAAATCAATATTTCCAATGTTACCGATCTTGCGGTAACCAAAATTACAGGTAATATTACCGCGGTAATATTACCCTTAACGTCACTAATCCTATGTAATTTTTGGAAACCAAATCCGTCGGCAAATTTAATACGATCTTGAACCCGATAAGAGTATCTACAAATATCAGTTAAATTCTTTTATATATTGTTAATTTGAGTCGAGTTTGGAAAATTATAACTTAAGTATACCAGAGGTTTTTAATATTTATTCATTTTCCAATCCTATAATACTGTATTAATATTATTTTTAGTATGCATAGAGCAGGTGTATCTTAACCAAATAAGTTATGAAGAAGAAGTACTTATATTCGAGGGATTACTGGTTAAACATCTTTTATTTCATTAAACAATTTATTTAATCAAATGGGTCATCTGACGAAAACTGCATATCAAAAACTTAAAAAATAGCGACAAAAAAGTCAGTTTCAATGAGTAATTTTCAATATGAAAATTAGCAGATTATCACGTATTTTTTAAAACATGAAATTAAGTTATATATTTTAGGGCAGTGTTGTCACTATTTAACGCAATTTCGGTAATTTTAGTTTAATTTGATTTTGAATGCGTATGCCAATATCTCTAGTTGTATTGAAAAGCAAAAAAAATACAAGGGTGAAACCATATCGATTTTACTTGTAAAGTGAAAAGTTTAAAATATTATCTTCTTGCTGATCATGGGCGCCGGAAGAATGAAATTAAGGGGGGGGGGGTCAAGGTAAAAATGAATAAAAATTGACATTTTTGGTAATTATTGGGAAAACTGGAAATCGTCCGATTTTCACCAAAATTGGTATACACCCTATTTTGAAGTCGTAGATTACGAATCTGAACTTTTTTCTTGGCGGTCTCTTACCGTTTTTCAGAAAAACGGAAAATAATTTCAATATCGAATTTTTCTTAATTTCTGATATTTTTAAGGTTTTCTAGCACATATTTTGTTAGGTATTCAATAATCAATAATGTTTTTGCTATTTTCTGTTACTTTTTTAACCAATTCTATGCATAATAGAGGAAAATTTGCTAAAATAAATTTGTAAACAATCTGAAGATGTTAGATTATAGCTTTGTTCGGGTTCTTGTTATTACCGATTCTGAACCGTCCAAGAACTCTGCAGCGCATGCGCAAATGAAATAATTTCTTCATATTTCCTTCTGCGCATACGCATCACAGTTCTAGGACGGTTCAGAATCGGTAATAAGAGAAACCGGAAGTAAGTTTATGTGTTTCTGGCATTTAAAGCAACGTTGCCAATGCTAAACCTAAATTTAGCGTGTTTTTTTCGCTCATTCTGCAATTACGAAAGGCGGTCGCCAGAAGAACGGCTCCTTCCCATAACTGCTATTTTACCAACTAGATCTGACTATTTATACCCACGAAGTTGCACGAAAGAGTTTTTATTGCATTGGTTACAACTTCCATGCAGAGGGTGTTAATCTTTTGTTGTTATATTATTAGTTGTTATTTGTTTATTAGTTGTATTTTGTTGTTATATTATTAGTCAATCCTTCCGCGTAATTTTGTGGATATAGGTGTATATTTAATTATTGTCGATCTCATAATAGGTAATTTATTTAAAATCCCTAATCACCCGAAAAAATAGAAGATATGGCAACGTTGTAAATTTTAAAATTTCTAGATTAGGTCTAGAATATATTTGTCTCTCTTATTACATAGGAGAGAAAAGAAGGATATATCAAATGTCAAACTTCCATCTGGTCTCAATTATCTTTGCTATTTTGTTAAGAAAAGTGTTTTTCAGTAAAATGTTGGACACTTTTCTATCCCCAATCAAGTGTGGCTTTTAGATAAACTATAATATAATGAAAATATAGTGAAATTATTACTTTATAGGGCCGAAATTAAGAAAAATTCAATGTTGAAATAATTTTCCGTTTTTCTGAAAAACGGTAAGAGACCGCCAAGAAAAAAAAAAGTTCGTAATCTACGACCTCAAAATAGTGTGTATACCAATTTTGGTGAAAATCGGACGATTTCCAGTTTTCCTAATAATTACCACATTTTTTATTATTTTACAGGTAACACCTAACAATTTCATAATAATGATTATTTTTTTTACAGATGGATGTAAGAAGATAGCTTTTATTTTTATTGTTTCAGTGATTCAGGGGGGGCAAATGCCCCCTCTTGCCCCCCCTGTCTGACGCCCATGTTGCTGATATAATTTCTGTAAACACATTTATTTAAGAAGACGCTGTTTATATAAATAAATGTTTTGATCTGTATTTTATTATAGTTAGTTTTACAATTCTTTTTATGCAATATTTAGTTTATATTATATTTTATACTAAATTAACTAAATAATAATCGTCAATCACGACATTTTTCAGAAGAAACGATTAAACATAGATCGATCTTTTTTAATTTGTTTTCTTGTTAAAACGGAAGAGACGACATTCTTAAGAAATTTTGAGATTTCAAGGACGTCTATGCAACATTGACATGTCTTCGCAACATTTTTTCACTATATAACAAGATAATAACTAAATTACAGCCCCGAATCTAAGGGGGCCTGCCCCGGGCGCCAGTGTCAGGGGGCGCCAAAATCATAATATAATTATGGTTGAAAATCCAAAAAATTGCCCCACAAAGCGCCTAGTATGCACCTTACGTCCTTCTATCAAGTATTCATTTAATTTTAAAACGTCCAGTTAGTTTTTGAACACATTCTAAAGTTTCATTCAGAACCTCCCTATTAGTGAAATAAATTGTCTGTTTCAATTATTACACTTTATACTTTTTAGTTTACGATCATTCACAATGTTTGAAAAGCACAATTAAAATTAATAGAATATTCTAGCAACAGCTTGCGGTAGTCAGTTGTATATAAAGAAAGCCAAATACCGTATGATCGAATAAAAACGGCGTCCAGTTGGCTTGGAAATGACGATCGATGACATTTCCCATATAAATTTACATATAAAATGACTGCGATCTTCATTTCATAGCCATCGCTGACGCCGTTTTTATTCGATCATACGGTATTTAGCTTATAAAACAATAAACTTCTGATTTCTAACCACAATTTCTCTTGACGCATGCTAATCAAAAGCCAAAACGACATTTCCCTCAAATTTTGAAGTATAATTATTGGAAAAGTCAAAAGTTTGTTTACTTTTTCTACTAATTGAAAATGACTACCACAAATTTAGACGTTCTGAATGCTTACATTGAAATTAATGGAACAAACTTCTACGCTAATTGAAACCACTAATTTATTCCACTAATTCGGAGGTTCTGAATGAAGCTTAAGGGCCCATTCTGTCCCGTTTACGAAAAATGCCTACCTATATCTAGATATTTGTAAGTTTTTAAATTAATTTATTGCAAACGCTGGAGAGAGGGGGCGCTACTATCAATTTTTTGCCCCGGTTCAAAAAAATTGTAGATCCGGGGCTGCTAAACTAACAGAAACATTATTAAAATTAATAGATACTATTATAATGTTTTCTTTCCATTTCTAGTTATGGATTTATTTTGACATTTTACAGTTTTTTTTCTTATTTAGGGGTACATTTAACTTTATCAGACCTTTTGTAGATTCTTGTTTTGAATTTAATCTATATACTGGCGCATCGAAGGTATTTTCTTTGTGGAATTTACAATTATTATACAGAGTATACTGACGAGGTTAAATTTTTCGCGGAAACGGAGATCGTTGATCAGAAATCTCAGCCAGATCTCGGATTTATGTTTCTTTTTTGGGCGTGCAAAACCTTTAAAAACAATTATTGTAACGCGACCTACTACTACTATACTAATGCCGTTACTCGCTGACGAGTATTTGACACGTATCAGAAGATGGTTACGCGTTTTCTTTCATGATCTTTTCTGTGACTGAAATGCCCGATACGTGATGTTAACTCTCTTCCGCACTCCGGACAATCAAAAATCTCATTGCTTTGTTGCCTCTTTATTTTTTGGTGGTCGCTGATAATTCAGTTTACAATTCTTCTCCATTGCGTTCTAATGTGCGCTGCATGCTTCTTCCCACTCATTTTGCATGTTTATCCCCTTTAAGTTTTCGTGGAAAATATCCTTGTACCTTTTTAGGGGGTTTTCTTGCATTCTGCATATGTGACCAGCCCATCTTAAGCGGGATTTTGTAATCATGACTTCAACGCTTTTGCAACTACCCTTTTCAAGGGCCCATACTTATGAGACATGGTTGAACCATTCGATTTTTAAGAGTTGTCTAAGGTGTCTCTGTTGCAACTTGTTTAACGCGTTCATGTGTCGGCGGTACGGCATTGGCACCCAGGTTTCGCTTCCATATAACATGGTGGGGATTATTATTACTCGGTACACTGCACGTTTTTGTGCGCAAGTCATGATTGTAGAAAACCCTGTCTTTTAATTTCCATAATGCTCTTGAGGCGCTGCTAATCCTGGGCTGAATTTCAGAGTCGATATTGGCCTTTTCCGAAATCAAACTGCCGAAGTTACTGCCTGGCACTGGTACATGGTTTACCAAGTACCAGTTCCAGTAGGTACTGGACACCTCGCAGCAACATTCCGGATTCCGGAAAAAAAATAAGAGTCTTTTACGCTGTACTGTTCGGGTCGTTCTCAGCGTAAGCGGCGGAAGGAAATATATATTATATTTCAGAAATCTGCGTAGGCTTAGCCAGATCCTGTCGTGTTAAGCCACACCCAAAATTCCAAACACACGTGCTTAAGGCTTGATTAAGGTTTGCATAGCTTCAGCATTTGCCATAAAATAGCGAGCAATAGTTACAAAACCATATAAATTATATATCATTATAATTACAAAACTTCAATCTATTTCCGTATTGTAACGGAATTTTAAATTATGTATGTCTTTATTTTCCAGAAAATTTAGTCCAAACATTTGGTTGATGTTTGACCATCAAAATCTTAAAAATAAAGAAGTTATCTAAAAATGTGCCACAATACGGAATACGGATATAGTATAATTCTTTATCTTTAATTTCCTTCATTTGTGTAAAAATACCTAGCCAGTTTGACATAAAACGTTAAATGCCGAACGCTTATTTTGCTACTTTTTCGGACTAGTGAAATGGACTCTTAAGTGAAGAACAAGAATCCGAGACTTCCACAAGCAGAAATGACAATAAAGTTCAAAAAACTACTGAAAATGAAGTTTGTCCATAAATTAATTTAGTGAATTGTTCAAACTGCGACGTTAAAATTAAAATGCATCAATTTTTTTTCCAAAGCAAATGAATATGACGATGAAGATAGAGATAAATAAAAAAAAAGTAAAAATAATATTTGTTTAAAGTGCCATTGTTAGTGGGAATATTATTCTGTGAATTACTGTAAAAAAATAATAAACATTTAAATAAGAATTTCAATTCGATCGTAGAAAAATTGTTGCGTGCAACATGTGCAAAAAGATATTTGTTGCACTCAGCTTGAACTATTTTATATTGCTAATCACGTCGCAAAAATTAATATTTTTGTGACGTTTGAAAAAAAAGTATATTTTCTTAAATTACTGTATGTGATTTTAAATTATCACTCAATTTCTTCTGTTTTGTTACAGGTGCTAGATCTGAAATGACTACGTCCCATCTGGTCTAATGTCCACGTTCTCTCCAGCAATTCCCCAGCTTTTGCTCATCCTCTAAACATCTAACTTATATCTTCAAAATTCCCACCTATCGTTTCCTAATGCATCCGCCTCTCCAAGGCTGTAACATCTCAGAAGAAGCCTGGCCGAGGGCGACCATGTGCGACCAAGTCCCGAGCTACACTTCGTATCCAAACTATCAGGAATTCATTAACGAGATTTCGAGAAATGTGAGGACCGAGAATCACAGCCAGGACGTGGTGGACACAGCTAGCCCTTATATTTATTGCTCCAAGTTGCCGGAGCACTGGCGTTCTAACAAAACGCTGCCTCACCCATTCAAAGTGATCTCGGCTACCGATGTGGTGGACGGTACCAAAGTGGTGGTGCAGGCCGGTAATGACGAGAACGATTGTGCGGAAATGAAGAATTTCTGTTCGAGTATGAAGAATAATGTGGCGCAGTTCAACGATCTGAGGTTCGTGGGTAGAAGTGGAAGAGGTGAGTTACGTTACTTTAATAGTTTGGTAATTCTATAACTTTTAATTTATTTTTGTTCGTTAATTTTTTATTTCAGTTATCCATTTAGTCCTCTATCCTGTAGGTACTATCTTTTCTATGGTATTATTTCATAATTGTGGCCAGGATATCTATTGATCTCTTCCTGTGTATTTTAGCTTCCCATACCTCTCTTACTGTATTTTTATTCCAAGACCCCATACCACTGACACTCACATTCTTAAATTTTATATCGAATCGAGTCAGTTATTAGTTTTTCTTTTATGAAACTATTGGGGGAACCAATGGGCACCTACCCCAGTATCCTTCAGGCAGAAATTTACGCTATCGAAAGATGCGCCCAATTTATCTTAGATAGGAACTATCGAAAACAAGTCAAGTAGCACTAAACGCGATCAACTCAGTAACCATCAATTCGAAGTTGGTCAAAGAATGTCTAGAGAAGCTCAACAAATTAGGCAAAGAAAATAAAGCCCTACTCTGGATAGGCACCCAGAGTTAGGAGGGAGGGAGCAGGCGCTCACCAAGGGATAGAAAGCAATGAAAAAGCAAATGATCTAGCTAGAAAAGGAGCGAACACTCCACTAACTGGACCAGAACCGTTCTGTTTTCCAAACGGGAACCAATTGAAAGCGGAACTGAAGAATCTGGAAGACTCTATCCGTAACTTAGAATGGGTGTCCTCCAACGGTCTAAGACACTCAAAAAAGTTCCTCAGAACTTACGACCGAGAGAAATCAAAGATTTTCCTTGAGATAAGTAAAAAAAATCTTCGGATTGTCACGGTGTTTCTAACAGGACACTGTCTCCTCAACGAACACCTCAGTAGGCTGAAGCTGAGAAACAACGGTGAATGCAGATTCTGTGGGGAAAGTGGGGAAACACCAGAACACCTTATCACTGAGTGATCGAATTGATTTCTTGAATTGATTTCTAAGGTTCGTGACGCTTTCAAGTAGTTTTTCCAGACCTTTGGGCGAGATTTAAAATAGTACTTTCTAAAAATATTATTTTGTACATTTCTAATGTGGCTTTAATATATTTGTCTTCATCGACTTCTCTTTTCTAATTGGATGTTAATATAATGTTCAACCGAGCGTTCAACGGTTTCTGTAATCGACGTACCTAGATTTTAAAGCTAACCGAGCAACGTAACTAGAAAACCAATGCGTAGGGTTTATTCTTTTTAATGTTCTATATCTAGATCTAGGTTTTGAACATCTCCTTTCTAAAGTATCTTCCATCTTCCATGTACTCGTACAAAATCAAAAGAGTTTCTTATTTCAGAGGCATTTCGTACACTGCCATTTGCGACTAAATTGAGATTCTTAGCACGACGATTTTTTTTTATGTGGTAAGAAGTAATAAACAAAAATAAAGTTTCATAATCCAATGTTCATTAATTAGAATAATGAGAAAATAAACATATGTGTAGTTGTAGCAAATTTTTACTCTTTGGCTGTAGTTTGTCTTTTACAGTACACAAATTGTTTAATATGAATTTGTAAGTTCCGTCGAACACGTTTTAACACCGGTAGTTACGTCAGTATTTTTCTTTATTTCTTGTCTTAAAACTGTTTTTAGTTGCCTGATACAAGCCAAGCGTATTGCCAATTTTTCCTAATTGATCTCAGACTCTCCATCTACTGTGCAGTTGACTTCCAGCTATTTATGCGAGTTTACTTGTTCCAAATTGGTGTGAATTATCCCTCTTCATATTCATTTGCTTTGGAAAAAATTGGATTAAACTATACATATAGAATACTGTTAAACATTTAAATTTAAAAAAAAAATGAATTTAAAAATGGTTAATAAGTTTACTGTTTGTTAGCCAGTTCATACTTATATTATGAAAAAAATAATCACAGTATCATGTCACATTTATAAAGTGCATAGTGATGTTTTAATTATCATAATATTTCAGCACTAAAAATTAAAACAAGGTGTACCGGTTTGCCTACCTTAATAAATTTTACAGTTTCTTCTATAAATACTATGGGATTTACATTAATAGTATTTCTGATAAACAACTACGTAATACCTATGCAAATTAAATTTTATTTTCATTATAGTATGATGTATATTACTGTTACTCCTTCTTCAAAAATAATTGTATTTTTCTAATAGTTCTATGATTTTTTTTTGTAAAGTGGTGAAACAAAATTACATGATGTTGATACTACGCTACATGATTGTGATCCTACAATGTAGAGAAGGGATGATTGTGTGACTTCTAGAATTGAATACTTTGTATCCGAATACAGTTGATCGAATTATTTTGGTATCGAATCCGCTATGCGATGTGCTACTGCTAAACACAGTAGCATTTTCCGATTCAACTTTTCGAGTGCTCTCACGCTCTCACTTGAGAGCACGATTTCGATTTCAAATAGCCTGGTGATAATTTTTTTAACATTAAACAAATTATACAGGGTGTCCCTCAATGACATGCTAATATTTAAGGGGGTCATTCTTGGACTTATTTTAAGAAGAAAACTTCATATAAATGTATGTCCTAAACATCTTAACTTAAAATTTTCTAAAAAAAGTTTTTTTCATAGTAACTGTGATGTTATTGTCGATATTTTTATGAAATTTCATACGCGCCTTCTATGCGTAAAAATAATTTTTTAAGTCAGTGGCGTACCATTTTTTCCTTCAAAAATATTCAATGCAAGACCAGTATGGACGCCACTGGTTGAAATAAACAAAATGGTTTGTGTAGATCAAAATGGGCATTTTGGATGCATAAAAGATAATAATGTTAATGAGTGTGTTAAGATTTGTAAGGCTATCTGTAATATCATCAGAGTTGTTATCATCAGAGATGTTATCATGAGAGATATTATCATCAGATCATGAGAGCTTTGAAGTTGAAAAGAATGACACGGGGCTCAAAAAAGTTGCAGATTCAAATATAATTAAGCCACTGAAATATGAAGATAGAGGTAAATACAACAAATTGGAACAAGTAAATTGGTATAAGTACCTCGAAGTCAACTGCACAGTAGATGAAGAGTCCGAGATCAATTAGGGAGAATTGGCAATAAGCTCGGCTTGTATCAGGCAATTAAAAACAGTTTTAAGACAAGAAATAAAGATAAAACAATATTGAAGATAAAACCCCTGAAGAAAAAGTTGAAAAGAATCCATCTAGATGGAAAGGAAATATTGCCATCACAGGAAGTGAAATATCTGGGAATATCACTGGATAGTGTAAAGTACTTAGGTTTTATAATTTATATATTTATTAATTTAGATATATTTAATAATATAACGAAAGCCAACTGCGAAGTGAAGTCTTTATTCTCTAGTTTTACATATATTTATAAACTATCAAACCACATTCCTTAATATATAAATAAGGTATTTTACACTTAGAAACTAACAATTTGATTTCATCACTTATTCTACAATAAGTAATATTCAAATATATTATAGATAGTAAACTTCTTTGGAACAAGCATATTAAGAACATTACCAGCAAAGCCATAAAGGCTCTCATGATATGCAGAAAACTGGCGGGAAATATATAACAGGTGGGGCTGCGCCCCTAAAATTTTGCGCTGGATGTATTCCATTATAGTAAGACCCATGATTACCTATGGAGAAGTTCCTTAGTATACAAAACTAGAGCAACGTACAGCAAGGCAAAACATGTGCAAAGTACAGAGACTGGCATGTATCTGCATCACAGGTGCCATGAGAACATGTCTAACAGCAGCAATGGAGGTCATTCTAGACCTAACACCACTGCACATTGTGGTCGGTAGTTATGTCAATGCTACAATGATTAGAATGGTCATTGACGGAAACAGTACTGGGAGAATTTTCAGGTCAGGGGCTTGTAACACCCTTAAAAAGAAAATTCCACTTCTCCGATTCCCAGTGGATGACATACCAAGAATTTACAACTTTGGGAAATGCCTCACTGTAGTATTGAGTAATAAAAAGGATTGGGAGGGAAGAAACGCTTACTCAGCATGTAAAAGACCATATAAGGTGGTATACTGATGCTTCCAAAACCAAAGCAGGGACAGGGATAGGAGTATTTGGACCGAGAACTAAATACTTCGAACCAATAGGCACATACCCCGGTATCCCTCAGGCAGAAATTTACGCTATCGAAAGATGCGTACAATTTATTTTTGATAGGAACTATCGAAAACAGGAAATTGCCATCCTATCCGATAGTCAAGCAGCACTAAACGCGATCAACTCAGTAACCATCAATTCGAAGTTGGTCAAAGAATGCCTAGAGAAACTCAACAAATTAGGCAAAGAAAATAAAGTTCTCCTACTCTGGGTTCCTGCTCACCAAGGGATAGAAGGCAATGAAAAAGCAAATGATCTAGCTAGAAAAGGAGCGAACACTCCACTAACTGGACCAGAACCGTTCTGTTTTCCAAAGAGGAACCAACTGAAAGCGGAACTGAAGAGTCAGGAAGACTCCATCCGTAACTTGGAATGGGTGTCCTCCAACGGTCTAAGACACTCGAAAAAGTTCCTTCGAACTTACGACCGAGAAAAATCAAAGGTTTTTCTTGATTTAGTTAAAACAATCTTCGGATTGTCACGGGGTTTCTAACAGGATACTGTCTCCTCAACGAACACTTCAGTAGGCTGAAGCTAAGAAACAACGGCGAATGCAGATTTTGTAGGGAAAATGAGGAAACAGCAGAACACTTTATCACTGAGTGCGCCGAGACGACGACTATTCGTGCCATGAACTTTGGTATGGCTGATGTCGAGGATGGAGAGCTGGCCTCTGTGGAGCCCTCTCAGATACTGGCTTTTGTTAAAGCCCTGAGACTGTATGATGAGTTATAACTCGTTTTAACTCAAGAAAGGGGAACACACAATAGATCTGTAAGGTCGTAGTGATTAACCCCCTTCCTAAACATTCTACATTCTACCCCTGAAGCCGTACATATTTTAAAAAGTTAGAGTGAAGATATGAAATAGAAAATCTGTTATATGGG